CGCGTGCATATACATATAAGCATATGCAGACATACATGCACACATATCACATAAACGAACACGCAAAGAGAGAAAAAAAAAATAGTGAAACTAAAATTTTAGAAAAACCCTCCAATCCCCCTTTAAGAGAGAGAGAGAGAGAGAGAGAGAGAGAGAGAGAGAGAGAGAGAGAGAGAGAGAGAGAGAGAGAGAGAGAGAGAGAGAGAGAGAGAGAGAGAGAGAGAGAGAGAGAGAGAGAGAGAGAGAGAGAGAGAGAGAGAGAGAGAGAGAGAGAGACGGAATATATAATATACATATATACACCTATATCTCTTTAGTTATCCTGAAACGGAGAGCCAAAGCCAGCGAACCTACCTCCTGGAGCATCCTTCCGAAGCCACAGAATCCCGCAGGCGAGACTGAAGGAGAGAAGAGCAAGGGCAAGAACCGCTAAGACGAAAGTCGTTATCATCCACTTCTCTGCCCTTTTCTCCAATCTCTTTTCGGTCTTCGTCGCCAGTTCTCTGCCGATGGGGTTCTCAGCTGTGGAGACCGGCAACTGTGTTAAAATTGTCACCGTTGCTTTGAAATTGATATTGTAGTTGTTATTATTACTATGTATATTATCAGTGTTATACTTATTATTATAATTATTATTGTCATTATTATTATCATTATAATTATCATTATTGTCATTATTATTATCATCATTATAATTATCATTATTGTCATTATTACTATCATTATCATTATTGTGATCATTATCACTATCATCATCATTCATTATCATTATTATCATCATCATCATAATCATCACCATCACTATCACCATTATCATCAAATGCTAAATGAAAAAAATGAAAGGATGATGCTCAACTTTTTTTTTTTTTTTTTTTTACATTCCTACTTTCTCTACACACGACAACGACATAACAAAAGGTAACAACAATAAAAGTAACAGTAGCGAAAACAGCAATAATAATAATGATAATAGGAACAAAGATAATAATAATAACACCACCTCTTGTCTTTGCTAAATCCATCACGGGGGTTATACAGCAGCAAATCCATAATAAAATAAGGAAAGCAGGATTGCCTCAGCAATATATATATATATATATATATATATATATATATATATATATATATATATATATATATATATATATATATATACAGATTGGCGAAAACAACATAAAAAATCCACAACAAAAAATACATTCCGTGCATATTGTTTTTCTTTTAAACAATATAAGCCATACTTACGCAGGGTATCGTTCACAGAGCATATCAGGTACGATATGGAAGTACTGTTCAGCCAAATACCAGATACTCTTGGTATTGTTGGTATGATGTCACCTTTCAGTGCCAGTTGCCCACTCTGGAACAAGTATGGTGGGAGGGTTCAAGAATGATTGGAAATGAGATTAAACGTTGTTCTTCAGAATGTATGGCGTGAGGATTTATGTGTGTATGTGTGTGTATGTATACATATATATATATATATATATATATATATATATATATATATATATATATATATATATATATATATATATATATATATATATATATATATATATATATATAAATGTATGTATATGCATATATATGTATATATATGTATATATGTATGAATAAATAAATATGTATATGAAAAAAATATATATATATATATATATATATATATATATATATATATATATATATATATATATATATATATATATATATATTATGTGGCGTGGCTGTGTGTGTGTGCTTGTATAAAGAGAGATAGAGTTTAAAATAGCGGAGCTTACCTCAGTATCCAAAACACCAAGATAATAGGTATTAGCTTCTTCGAAAGTAATATTCTTGTACTTCCATTCTTCTCCGATGCAACAGACACGCAGTTCTGCCGTTGCTTGAGCCTCCTGAGTGTAAAACCAGAGATAGACAGGGTTTGAACCTTTCACGTGAACGTATTTTTGTGTTTCGTTCATGTAAGGGAGTTTCCAGTCCTCGCAAACTGAAAGGTGAAGATCCATTTGCGTTTCAGTGAGGTTTATGCATATATATGTGTATGTGTGTTTTTGTTTGTTTGTTTGTGTATATTTGTTTGTGTGTGTGTGTGTGTGTTTGTGTGTATTTGTTTGTTTGTTTGCGTGTTTGTTTTGTGTGTGTGTGTTTGTTTGTTTGTGTGTATTTGTTTGTGTGTGTGTGTTTGTTTGTTTGTGTGTATTTGTTTGTTGTTTGTGTGTATTGTTTGTTTGTGTGTGTGTTGTTTGTTTGTGTGTGTTTGTTGTGTGTGTATTTGTTTGTTTGAGTGTGTGTTTGTTTGTTTGTGTGTATGTGTGTGTGTTTGCGTTCGTGTTTGTTTGTGTGTGTGTGTGTGTTTGTTTGTGTTTGTGTGTAAAATATTTATAAATTTCAGCGTGTTCAAAACAAACGGCCTTGCCTCCCTCACCTCCTTTCCCCGATGGAGGCGATCCCTGAGTCACCGTCTTCAGCGCGCAGAAGGAAAACCAGAAGATGAAGA